TTAGAACAACAAGCCTCGGACGCCACGCAAAAAATAATAATATTATTTTAAAAAAAGGACATAATATTATATTATATTGGGATTTTTCTCACCAAAACACAGCCAGGTTCTGCCATCTCTCTCATAAGTCCTCAAAAAAACAAAAACAAAAAACAAAGGCAAAAAAACACACACACACATTGCACACAACCCCCACCCACAGAAAAACAGGACATCACTTGTGTAGTCCAAACCAATTCAAGTATGGCCTACATTTTTTTCGGTGATATTACTGGTGTTGCTCCACACCCTACTTTTTGTTGCTCCATCACCTTCTTTCAGTGTTGGAACTTGGAGAAAGAAAGCATACACCAGTTAGATAAACTCCTTTTTCTGAAAGCGTTGACACCAGTACTCAGTATGTGTAGTATATGAATTTATGAGTATGTATTGACACATTGCTTGACAAACGCCGCAACTTAGAGCCTGCTAGCACTCTCATGACTATGTTTTTTGTATGCGCTGCACATGGACTCGTAGCGGTCCACGTCCCACCGGCAACCAAGCGCGATGGGTGACCTCTGCTCCATCTCCGTCACACACACATCCATCATATTCATCGTGCCCGTCGTTGATCTTCCGCCCGCGCACTCCATGAGAAACGCCATTGGTGCACCCTCAAAAAGAAGCCGGAGCTTTACCTTGTGGTGTGGGCTCTCCGGTGTCATGTAAATGCCGTCGCCCTTGACAACGATTTGGCACACATCGGCCACCATTCCCCCTGTGTAGCGCAGCGTCGCCCCACTGTTCATGTACGATGCAACAAGGTCCTTATACCACGGAAGGTACATAGTCGCTCGAAGGTTTCCGGGTGCAAACAAAGTCGCCTTAGGCTTCAGAGTGCGCGCAGCTTCATGTCGCAGACGTAACCAGCAGTGTCCATCGCAATAGAACTCCATCACAGGTAAGTGACGCAACGACACAAACATCACAGTCCGCGGGCCGTACACTGTCACAACACTCGCCACCATGTCCCGCACATGCAACCCAATCGGTGTGGCACCAGGCCACACAGCAAAGATCGAGCCAACAGAAAAATTAGTCGCGATGACGCTGCTGCCATCCAGGGGGTCATACGAGACCGTATACAGGCCTCGCCCTGCATGCGGCGTGGACGTGAGTGTCAGTTGCTCCTCCGAGACAAATGCCACAACCTGGCGACAACTATGGAGGCAGGATGAGATGTGTTTTTCCGCCATAACATCCACCGAAAGAACTTCGTCGCCAAAACTATTATTCATCTGTGCTGCCTTCACAGTATCTGTGCGGAGGTTAATGGCTATCTCGCTGCACGCCTCTGCAATGGCCACAACAACATCGACCACCGACGAGGGCACCCCCTCATGCGCAAGTTCTGCCGCAATATCCGTCGAGTCTGTCATTAATGCTTGCCGTTCCTTCCCCGTTTTAAAAAATGCACTATTATCGGTTGTGTGCAGCTTGTGCCACGCCCCAGGCACACCCTTGGTAAAAACAAAACAAAAAGCACACAGTTGAACTGAAAATGATCTTCGTTTGTGTAGAGGAAGGAGTGAAAGAGAAAGTGGAAGGCGTCGTCACGAACAAACCACCACACCAGCAAAACCAAAAGCCAAAAAAAAAAAGACACCAAACGAGAATAATAATAGTAATAATCGGCATGACTCTCCGTTACAGCAAAATCCCTACATATGTTCCCGCATTCATAATGCTCACCAGTGATATGACAAGTATTCGTTTGCCGGGTTGGCACATGAGCATTGCCGCAGAAAGGAACCCTTAAACGTCCAATGGACAAATAATAGTTGAAGCCTCAATTAGCAATATATATATATATATATAACAAGAGTAAAGAAAAACAGTTTGCATTTTCCCCAGTATCTGGCACCATGAACATCAGTGTACATATTCATTAGCCAATAGTGAAAGAGCGAGACCACTACACTCTCTCATCGCCTACACTTCCTTGGGTGCCGACGGCGGATGGAGCTGCGGAAGGGCGCTTCTGCACTTGCAAAGCCGCCTCAAGGAAAACGAGTAATTTCGTTTTTGTTGCTTTTGAGGCTCGTCTGCGACACCGCGGAGGCCCCCGGACCCGCGCCCCAAAACGACCCCTCACCACCGGGAGGACCCGCGTAACTGAGCGCACAATCGCCCTTCCCGCCGGACATGGGGCTCCATCGGCACACCTCCCCCGCGCATAGCGCACACAAATCCCCCACACACCCAAACGACAGACCAGGGCACCACATCCGTCTTGCATTCCCCACTGCACCGTCAGAGGCAGAAGTACGTTCCTGCAAACGCATCCCCGCCACCCACGGACGCCTCTCTTGCGCCTCTCAATGCTGCCCGCAGACCAACTCTCTCGGCCTATCTCCTTCTGGCCCCTTCGTACCCCTTCGTGCTCTTCCTCCACACCGTCACGCAGAAGCATCCGAATGCCCGTGCCGCGCGGGCCGTCGCAAAAAGATCCAAGTCACAGCTTTGCCTTGGCCCCGGCCGTCCGACGCGCTCGTCATCCGCCACAGGAAGCGCACCGACCGCGTAATCGCTCAGACATGCACCAATCAATGGGCAAACGTCAAGCGAAGACACCGTTGGGTTCTTTCATACAACAAATGAACAATACACCAGCGTATAAAATGCCTTGCCTATCAACAAAATACACTTTGTGATAACCCACAGATAATGAAAAAAAAAGAAGACATTTTGTACCTTCAGCAGGCACGCATAAACCCTGATTATTCCCCTTCGCATGCCTCCAGAAACAAACAAAGATAAACATAATTGCTCTAAATACATGTAGATATGAACTTTAGCCGTCGCATATATATTTTTGCTTTACTATTCAATTCCAAAACATAAGCATAACAGAGGTACATAATAAAGAAAGGAAAACACACGTAAATAGATTTAGAGATAGGTATGGGTAATATATATATATATGTATATATATATATATCGGAAATACATAGTTGGATGAATTGAGAGACGGGAAAAAATGTGTGTCATCTAATACGGCCTAACACATCCAAATCCACACTATCCATACATACATGCATTCAAAGTGCAACGGCACCTGTGTGAGCGTGCCTGTGCACCACATCAAATTACCTTATACATGCAAATCAATAATAGTAAAAACTTCCAGCACACACACACACAACAAAAAAAAGACTCTCTCACGCACTAAACAAAAAAAAAAAAAAGACCCTCTCACGCACTAACAAAAAAAAAAGGACCACCGATGACAAAAAAAAAGATAAACATTCGTTGTGTTCACAGTGGGAAAGAAAACTTTGTCCTCAGAAAAGCGCACGTTGGGTGGGAAAAGTCTTCAACCCATCCCCTACCTCGTCCTTCACAACGGTAATAACAATGAAACACGCTGAAACGTAAAGAAATGAAAACAAAAAAGGAAACAAACATAGGTCGCGAAGAATAGCAACGCTCCACTACGCTTGTGAAAACGCTGCAGTCACACCAAACATGAGGCTCACAACCACGACATGCAAATGAATGCTCTACAAAGGGAAGGGGGGAGTGGAGGAACACAACCAACAAAAGAAGAGATGACAGCAGTCCTCCTACCGTCTGTATTAGTGTTCAGTTAAAGGGGGGGTACCTGAATTGCGTGCGATAAGGGCACAGGGGATCCTTCGTTTCCTCCCACCGCATAGCCTCAAGATTGTGGTAGAGAGGCATCAAACCCACGTCCGGGGTATTTCCACTTCGAGTCTGATTTCGTGCCAATTGTTGTCGCTGCATCCCCAGCACCTCGTTTAGCTCTCTCAGATTCACCCGTCGCTCCTGCCGCGCCGTGCTAAAATCAGTGCGCAGCGGCCAACGCATACTACGATCCTTTGCTACAACTCTCGGAAGCTCTATACCATAATCCCACGACGGCACAGGCCTCTCTAGCGGCATGTAAAGCAACTCCCCACACCCTCTGGCGTCTCCATCCTTGTCGCTCGTTGACTTCCGGTACCGCAGCCCGGGCCGAGGATATTTGGTCATTTTATTAAAATGCGCAGGGTAGTATGGTTTGCCGACACTGATTCTCCGTGCATTAAGGCTTCTACGGGGTACGGCTGGCCGCACCGGCACCCGAACCGGCTCCAATTCACGCATGACGGGTGTTTGCCCAGATTTGTAAGACTCCCAAACACGATCAAACGGAGCTCCGTTCAACAGCTCATCAATACGCGCCTCACTCATGGAAGAACTATGTTCCACGTAAAAGTCGACCACAAGGTTCTCACAAATGCGGTACGCCGCGATCCGCACGTCCTCAGGCATGACATCCAGCACATCAACAACGTCTCTCAGAAACGCAGAGGCCACAATTTCAGGCTGAACCCCACTGGCCCAGTCTGATCCCACAAACCCAACGCGATGAAATGTCGTCGTACGAGCAACGCTTTTGAGTGCAACACACTCGTCATGGAGATGCCACATAGCTGAAAAAGGGGCTTCATCCAACAAGTGAAGCACGTCAGCTTGTGATAACGAAGCTGCATGCTCCAACAGGACAGTAACAACGGCATCCCCTGATAAAGCATACGAAACATTTTCCACCGACTTTGGAAAAACACCGCCAATATCCAAGACATCACGCACAAAGCAATTCTTCAAACGCACCAAATCCTTCTCAACAACTATCTTCCAATCACATCCGACAAAACCGACACGATAAGTAGCCAAAAAACGTAATGAATCCCCCAACCGTAACGAGTGACTACAACTTTCACCTTTATCGACTACTTCACCACCCGTTGATGGTATTGGCGTTGCCGCACCCTTCTTCAAACCCTGCGCCTCGGCATCAACTACCAACTTTAATGGAAAAGCAGAAGTGCCCGGCAAACCAGGAACTTCCCTTACAAGAGAGCACTCCTCTGCGACACCACATGAAGGTACCACGTCACACGACTGTGGTTTACCCGGAGTCACATCGCACTCCTCACTGGCGCGTAGCACAGGCAACATGCCCTCCTTGGCAGTAAGAGGCGCAGCAGCGGAACCTGCAGGCGGCTGTGTGCGGGGCTCGTACAAATTCCACGTCCGGAAAAAGCCACACTGAGCAAGACGCTTATTCACATCGCCCTTACGCAGCGAAGGCCTGTGTCGGAGACCAAACAGAGCTGCAAGACCCTCAGGCTTCAGAGACAAATCCACATCCACGACGGAGCCACGAGGTACACTCAGCGCCTCACAGACATCTGCATCAAACGCCTCGCACAGCGCACTACGCTTTCGCTCCAGCATCAGATCCCAGTCGTCACCTTCCAACTGTGCACGGTGCTGAGTCACCACGGACTCCCCATCCTGCCGCGTTACCATCGCTGTCTCAAGTGGTGTTGCACTTTCC